TTCTTTCAATTCCCTATTTGGTTGTTGCTTTTTTTTTTTTTTTTTTGGAGACAGAGTCTCATTCTGTTGCCCAAAATAGAGTTGGAATAAGCCTAGTCTACAGCAACCCCAAGCTCCTGGGTTCAAGCAGTCCTCCTGCCTCAGCCTCCAGAGTAGCTGGGACTACAGGCTCCTTCCACGATGCTTGACTAATTTTTTCTATTTTTAGTAGAGATGGAGTCTCCCCATCTTGTTCAGGCTGTTCTCAAACTCCTGAGCTCAAGCCATTCTCCTGTCTCAGCCTCCCAGAGTACTAGGATTATAGGCGTGAATCACAGTGCCCAGCCCACTGTGTTATATTTACCCATAAAATGTACCGCCACCTGAAACTACTATATTTTGTTTATCATCTGTATCCCTCCTCTAGAATGTAAGCTCCATGAAGTGTGGGTCTTTTTTATTTTGGTCCACTGCTGTGCCTCAGTGCTTCAATAGTGCTGGACACAGAGTGGCTTTATTCTTGTGTACACAGTGGTCTCTGCCTTCAACTTTCTGTAGCCCCCCCATCAGACTCCAGCATGACCTTCTGAGAAACAGCAGTGACAATGCAACTATGAAAAGCCAATTTCCCCAAAAGAGAAGAGCAAAGGTGAATCAGTGACAGAATTTTCCAGCATTTGAGTGACTTGTTTTTATAAAAAAGCAGTCTTCTTGTGAAGTGAATCACTGGGGAACTTGATCACTGACCTATAAACCTCTTCCAGTCCCAAAAGATGTAATCCAAGGTCATTGTGGTATTAATAGGAAATTGCCAAATCATATAATTTCTCTTCCCAGTTCAAGGGAAAAAAATACAAAGAAAAGGACAAAGAAGAAAAGGAAGACATTTGAACCGTTTGTTCTTATCTTTTCTTCATCTTTTTCTTTCTCCTTTGACCTCAGAATAAAATGAATCAGAAAATATTAATAATGCAGAAAAACAAGAAAACTGGCTGTGTTAGAGTACCCCACTTAGAGAAGTGTAGGGATCCTGGTGGGGCAAATGAGCTTTGTGGCAGGGAAGGAAATAATATAAACATATTTATATTACTTATAAATGTGAAATGTTTTAAAATGACAATATAATAAAACAGTTATTTAAAAAGTTTAAAAACAGGCTCGATGCCTGTGGCTCAAG